AGGAGAGAGTGGGGTTCTAGACTTCCAGCTGGAAGGCCAGGCTTATCTCTCGGCTGCGTCCCAAGGGCTGGGGCCTCTCCCCACCCGTCCCTTTGCTGCCCTCAGGGTGGGCTCCGGGACCCTCTCCGGCAGAAGGTGGAGGCCAGAAAGGCAAGTCCTGGGACTCAGAGTCCCAGCTTCCGGGCTCCCTGTGGGAGTCCGCCCCGCCCCAGCTGTGGTCCATCCTGGGGGCTGCGGGCCCTTGGGGGGGCCTGGTGCTGGTCCCCGGGCCCACAGCTGCTGTCCCCACAGACGTCGTCCTGCAGCCGAGCCCGGCCCTCAGCTGGAGAGCGACAGGTGGAGTCCTGGACGTGTACGTCTTCCTGGGGCCGGAGCCCAAGAGCGTGGTGCAGCAGTACCTGGCAGTCGTGGGTAGGCCACCCCACGTGCACCTCTGTCCCCCAACTCCTCCCTCCGCCCGCTGACACCAGCCTGTCCGCAGGGCACCCGGTGATGCCGCCCTACTGGGCCCTGGGCTTCCACCTCTGCCGCTGGGGCTACTCTTCCACTGCCATCACCCGCCAGGTGGTGGAGAACATGACCAGGGCCCACTTCCCCCTGGTGAGTCGTGGCAGGAGGGGTCCCGGGCGGGGCGGCACGTCCCAGGGGGTCCAGGCGCTGCTCCCCATGGCAGCCGGACGCTGTGGTTGCCACAGGACGTCCAGTGGAACGACCTGGACTACATGGACGCCAGAAGGGACTTCACCTTCAACAAGGACAGCTTCGGGGACTTCCCGGCCATGGTGCGGGAGCTACACCAGGGCGGCCGGCGCTACGTCATGATTGTTGTGAGTGCCCCCCACCTGGGTGTGTGGGCACAGGGGCTCGTGCTCCAGCTTTACCTTCACCCCCGTGCCCATGCCACCCCACATGTGTTGGGGGCATCACCCCGGTGCCCGTGTTCCTGGCTGTGTTGGGGGAGAGTCACCCCAGTGCCCGTGTCCCCAGGTGTGTGTGTGGGGGGAGTCACCCCAGTGCCCATGTCTCTGGGTATGTCTGGGGAGGGGTCACCCCAGTGCCCATGTCCCCGGGTGTGTGTCGGGGAATCACCCTGGTCCCCATGTCCCCGGGTGTGTGTTGGGGAGTCACCCTAGTCCCCGTGTCCCCGGATGTGAGGGGGAGCTCAGCTCCTCATCCGGCTTCCCCACCCCTGTACGGCGTCACTGAGCACGGTCTCTGAGAGTCGTTGACGCTGAGGGAATGTTAAGGAATGTATGTGTGGCCTTTGCTGTCGGACAACATCCAACGTAAAGGTCCCTGGGCATCACTCCAGTCCCAGGAGCTGTCAGCTTCCTTCCCTTGTCAGCTCAGCCCCCAGGTGCCACTGCAGGCCATACTGTCACCCCCGGGCTGGTCAGCGGGCACCAGTCACCTCTTCCTCGCCCCCGCTGCCCCCTCA